TTCTTAGTATTATTATTATTATTATTATTTTTGTACATAACTCCTCGATAACCCTTTTTTTTTTTACTTAAAAAAAAAATTTCTTTGTATATTTGTTTTGTACAGAAAAAAAAAAAAGAGAATAAATTATTATAAAACTTTTAAAAAAATATAAATAAGTAAATAAATTAATAAGAAAAAAAAAAATTTAACGTTGCGTGATTAAGTTTTTTTGTTTTTTTAATAATATAAATATTGAAAAAAGTTTTCATGTAATTTATTATTCGTTTTCAAACTTATTATTATTAAAAACGATGCACTTATTACAAAAAAAAATAATAAAAAATTGTGATTATAGAAAATTAACTAATTGTTTTAAAATTTAACGGTTCCAGGGATGCTAAAATGATATTATGCATTATTATGAGAGCTCTATTTGCTGCTGGTGGTTTTCATTGGGTTAAGGTGAAGGGAAAACAAGCAACATCAAAAGAAGCCCCAGTTTTAGCTGTTGCTCCTCATTCTTCTTATTTTGATGCTCTCAGTGTTGTTTATTTGGGAGGTCCCAGTGTAGTCGCCAAAGGGGAAACGGGAATTTTACCGCTTTTTGGAAGTATGCGCTCCTTTTTTTTTTTCCTTTTACTAACATTTTATTATTTATTATTTTTGCATGCTTTTACGTAACGTATTATTATTATTATTTCATTAAATTGTACGCACGTACGATACGAATTTTTTTTAAAAATCATATAAGAAACAAATATTATTATTCTGATGTTTGTGTTTAACCTACATTTAAAAAAACAATAGGTTTTGTAAATATATATATGTTATTGATATTTATTAACTATTTGTTAATTATTTTGCTTGATAAAAAAAATTGCGTGGTTTAAAAAACATTTATTATTAGCTGTAGTTGTTAATTTTTTCCAAAGCTATTTTTATTGCATCATAAAAAAGAAAAAAAAAGACCCAAGTATTTTTTTTTTTTTAAATTGTAATTATGTTTATTACGCACGTGAAGAAAATAATGTTAGGTAATTACACGTGTAAAAAAAAAAAAAAAGTAAATATGAAAAGAAAACAGTAAAAACGAATCGAGTTTAAAAATAAATTTTTTTTCTTAATTTAAATGTCATTAAAAGAATTTTTTGTGTGTGTCCTATCGTGAATAAATTCCCATAAATTCATTCGTAATTTTGTAAATTATTGCTTTATTTTACCCCCCCCCTTTTTTTTTTTTTTGATTGTGCAATGTGTGTGTGTGTGCGTGTGTTTATCGTGTTTCCCCAAATTATTAAATTTGTAAATAAAACTATATTATTTAATTTCGAAAAATGAACTTCAATCGTAATTACTAATACCGTTTTTCTCAAGTTTTAATTTATTAACAAAATATTGTACATAATTTGGCATTTGTAATTTCTTTTTCAAGTTCTGCTTTTTTTTTTTTTTTTTTTTTTTTAAAAAGTGAATAAGACATAAATGTGAATAACCCATATTATAAAACAGAAAACTACGCGAAATAATATCTGCTGTTGGGCAGTTGACTTATCGAGTTGGAGGAATGAATATTGTGGTTAAAGGGAGGCAAGCAACACGTCAAGAAGCTCCCATACTTGTCATCGCCCCTCATTCAACATTTTTGGATGCTGTCATTGTTTACGTATCTGGTTTTCCATCAATTATTGCTCGTTGGGAAAGTGGTTTAAATCCTTGGCTCGGAAGTAAGAATAAATAATTTATTTACATTCTTCCTCGCGAACAATATATAATCTAAAGCGAAATTATTATTATTATTTTTTTTTTTTTTAAATTACACGGTGTGTGAGTGTGTGGGTGTAAACATCAGAAATTTCTATTTGTTTTTTAAATGATTTTAAAATAATCAATAAATTACAAAAAAAATTTTTTTTCCTATTCAAATCTATTATTAACCTTATTAAATTTTTTTTTTTTTTTTTATTTCAGTTTTATTACATAAATTTAATTATGATAAGTAGTTAGTTGGTAGTAGTTTTTTTAATGTATTTTCAATAATGAAAATTCACCACTAAAAATTATTATTTTATTATTATTATTATTATTATGCATGCAATATTAGTTTTTTAAAAGTATTTTATTTGATTGATTTTTAACAAAAAATTGTAGCATTCATTTAAAACTTTTTTTTTTTTTTTTTTGATTGTCATTATTTATTTATTTATTTATTTATTGTTATTTGCATCCTAATAAAAGTAATTTATTTAACGCTCTATTTAGTAGTATTAGTTAGTTAGTTTAAAAGCTAATTTTACGGCAGAGTAATAAATCACAAGAGAGTCAATCATAAGAAGAAAGTTGGTATGTGTGTGTAATTATTAAATTTTTTATTTATTTATTGCCTATATGCTCTCTCTCTCTCTCTCTCTCTCTCTCTCTCTTTCAAACTAAATAATTAATTGTAAGTTTTGAAAAAAAATTTTTTTTTTTTTTTGTGGCACCAGAGAATCATTAAAAAAAAAAATTATTACGAAAAAGAAAACATAACAACAATTTTATATAATAACTCTTAGTTATTGATAAAATAAAATTGTTATGAAAACAAATAAAAATAATATTTGTTATGATTGTTTTAGAGCTTATTAATTATACTCAACCAGTTTACGTGTGGCGAGACGATCACGATTCTAGGCAAAATACGATAAAAGAAATTATCGAACGAGCTAATTCAGAATTAGATTGGCCCCAGGTACTTATTTTTCCAGAGGGAACTTGTACCAATAGGTCATGTTTAATTACATTTAAATCTGGAGCATTTTATCCGGGAGTACCCGTGCAACCTGTTTGTATACGTTATCCAAACAAACTGGATACTGTTACATGGACGTGGGAAGGACCCGGAGTGTAAATATTTGAAAATATCAGGAATCGAATTAATAATTTTAAAAAAAGCTTACGTACAGGTACATTTTTTTTTTTTTTTAGTTTAAAGCTCCTTTGGTTGACACTGACACAAATTCACAGTTGTTGCGAAATTGAATTTTTACCCGTTTATAAACCGAACAAAGAAGAAAAAAATGATCCGAGACTATTTGCAAATAATGTTCGAAAAGTAATGGCACGGTAAGTTATATTTAAAAATGTTCCCCCTCCTCTCCCCTCCCCCTCCTTGGAAAAAATTGAAAAAAAAAAAAAATGTTTTAATTAATTTTAGTGCATTAGGAATTCCGGTATCCAATTATACATATGATGACTGCAAATTAATGAATAGAGCAAAACAAATGAAATTACCATATGCAGGAAAATTAGTTGAAGTTCAAAGGTTACGTCAGGCATTAGGATTAACAGAATCAAACATGGAAGAAAAAATTATTCGCAGTAGTAATTACAAATCTATAATAAAATCACCGATGATGTCTTATTATCAATTCACCGAGGCTTTAAAATTATCACCTAATAATTCATTAGCTTCTCAACTTTTTAAATTATGTGATAAAGTATGTTACTGAACAACAAAAAATTTTTTTAAAAAATAAATATTCGAATGAAATTAAAAAATTTTTTTTATCTTTTTAGAAAAGTATTGGAGTCATAGATTTCAGAGATTACTTATTGACTGTATTAGTTATAGCAAAAAATAATAACATACTCGATTTATTATATCTCGTTTTTAAAGTAAGCTGCTTCTTCGAATTCTTTTTTTTATGTTTTCTTATGAACTCATATTAATTTTTAAAATGAAATTATGTATTATTGTTACAGGTAGTAGATAAGGGAGATAATCATATAAAAGAGTCTGATTTTTGCATCATGGTTCATAGAATATTATCTATTGAAACAGAACAATGTTTAACCCTGTTTAAGAAAATAGATGTTAATTGTAAAGGCTACATTTCATATGGTATATATTTCAAATCGGTGATTCTATTTGTTTGTAAGCGTTTGTAAATGGGAAAAACTAAAATGGATTATTTCATTTCAGATGAATTCAGAGATTTTGCTAAGAAAAACAAAGAATTTTTAAGTCTAACTAAATCGAATAATTGCATTAAAGGAAAATCTGAATAATTTATGTGTGTCAAAACCTTATGTTCGAGTCGAGCAGGTGTAAAAGGTGGATGAATATTTTTTTTTTTTTTGTCGTTTACATTTACTTTATATTACTATTTGGGTTCCTATTTATGCTTTTGTACATAATAATGATAATTTTTTTTGTTTATATATTTTTGTTGCAAATCGTCTTTTTAAGCAAATAATATACAATAATAATAATAATAGTTTGCAAAAGTGTGAAAAAATTGATTAATTTGAAAAACGAAGTAATCGAAAGTTTACTTAAATTGAGTTTTATATAATTATAACAAAGATATTTTTTTATTTTTCTAGTTTTTTATATTAGTTTTTTTTTAAGTTATTTATTTTATTTATTTATTTGTATGTAAAAAAAAAAAAAAAAACTGTATTAATTTAATTTAATTTATCAAACTAGTTATTTTCTTTAAATAAATTTGTTGTTAATTGTAATATATATATATATATATACATATATATATATAAATTTAATTTAATTTTTTTAATAAAATTTCCTTGAAATTATTCATTCAAACATTTTACTTAATTAAATTTTATTTTTAAGGGGAAATCAAATAATCAAAAAAAAAGAAAAGTGTATTAAGTTTCTAAAAAGAAAATATGATTAAATATTTTTTTAAATATTTTTAAATTTAATGGGGTAAAGTAAATTACATTCAAAATCTTTTAACGTAAAATAAATTAAAGTTGATAAAATATTGTTTACCCATTCCAAAATATTTTTTTTTATTTAAATACATACACGAAAAAAAAAAGTCGTAGCTATTCAAAATAAAGAAATGAATCACAAGTTAAGAATAAAAAACTAAAACCATTAACACTGCGTACAATATTAGAAATGTACACCTCATAACTAAATTAAACTAGTGAGTAAGTTTAAAATTTTTTACATTTTATAATCAAATTAATAAAAAATTAACTTTTCAGTAAAAAAAAAATAAAAATAAAAATTAACTAAACAAAAAAAAAAACGAAAAAATTTAATTGACACATTATTCAAATTTAAAAAAAAATTAAACTAAACTTTTTTCCAACACTAACAGGCTGTGATCGACTAAAATCTTAACTTTCAAAATGGCTGTCAAGATTTTATTAGAGATTTTAAGTGTTTTTTGTAACAATTTACTACTAATAAAATAAGCATGTTCAACTTTTAAAGGTACTTAAATTATTTTTTAAGCTAATTAAATTGGACATTGCAATTTTTTTACATTATTACTTATATATCGTAATTTTGATTATTGTTGTGAGCTTTCAATATTTGCACGTTAGCCTTTATCTTTGTAAAGGTGGAGGTGTGGTAATTTAGCAATAAAATAACTTTCTCCTTATAAAAAAAATGTTTATTTTCAATACTTTCAATTTCAATAAATATAAATTTAAAAAATTTTAAATTCAATATGAATCTCTGAGCTTACGGGGATTTACTTAATTTCATAATAGCAATTATTAAAACAAAATGGCATTTTATGCCGGACTTTTTAGCACCCCAATCGTACAAAATTCAAAAAAAAAAAAATTAAATTAAATTAAATTAAATTAAATTAAATTCAAACTCTTTTGAATGCCTTAAAACTTTAAAATGTTTACACAAATTACTGATTACGTTAATATGTAATGACTCACCTATTGTAATGTTGTACTTAAAAAGATTATTTTGCAACTAAAAAAAAAAAAAAAAAAAAAAAAAAAAAATGCAGCGTTGTATGTATAGTTAAAATTAATTACTTTATTTACAAAAAAAAAATATTAAAAAATTTACGAAATTCAAATTTTCATTTACTAAAAATTATAATTTTCATTAAATTTGTTTTACAGGATTTTCACCCTTACTGGTGATTTTACTACAGTTTTTTTTTTTTTTTTTCAAAATGGATGATTACATCAGATGAAATTTCAGGTGAATATAAAATACTAATTATAGATATTTTTTATATAGAATTTTAAAGTCATTAATTGTTAAATTCAAAACACTTATTAAAATCATTTTGTATTTACTCCATACTTCCTTTTTTTTTTTTTTTAAATTAAAACTTAATTTTAGATCTTTACTAAAAATATATTATTAATAATTATTTATTGCTTTTAGTTATCACTTCATCTTTGAATAGAAAAGAAATGGCAGTATTGATAAATTTAATTAGAGCTATGTGAATTTTATATCATTCATTTTGGATTCATTTTATTATTTTTTATTTCGGTGAGTCAAACATTTTTTTAATTTTTTTATAATAATAATAATGATATTAATAATATAGTAATATAATGTTGGAATGTTAGCGATTATAAATGCGAGTAAAAAAAAAAGAGAAATACTAAAATATTTCCCAAATATATAATATTCGAAATATTTTACATGTGTGTTGTTTTTGTGTTCGGTGAAAAATATATGTGTCTAATGAAAATCAATAATTTGAAATGTATTATAAAATTTAAATATGAGTAGTAAATTTAAATCTGTGTACTTTTACTAAATTTTCCCCCCCCCCCCCTCGAGAAACTACTAGTTTTTCTATCCATAATTTTATTCTGCTGTATAAACGAAAAATTATAAATAAATATATATATATATATATAGAAATTAAGATTTATTTCTTTAGTTTTATAAGAACTAATTTTTTTTTTTTTTTTTTTAGCTTTAATATGGGTTATTTTAATGTGTGATTACTGACTGTTTGCCATTGTTTTATTTTCACATTGTAATAAATATTTTTTTAAAAAAAACTATTTTTATTACTGTGACAAAACTGATTAACCGATTAAATTATTATTTGTATATTAAGACGATGAGAGAAAATTTAAAAAAAAATAATAAAATATTTTGCTAGTAAAAATAATTAATTGTTTTTATATAAACATAATAAATAAATAAATAAATAATGGCAAAGTATGATTTTAAATTTGAAAAGAAAAATTTTTATTTTAGCTGTCTCGACCCCGTGCAAAACACGTGACATCTAAACAAAATGGCACGTAAAGGAGAAACATCTAGAGTATTTAATATATCAGTCGTCGGATTATCTGGAACTGAAAAGGAAAAAGGACAAGTTGGAGTTGGGAAATCGTGTTTATGCAACCGTTTTATGAGATCATTGGCTGATGATTACAGTTCAGACCATATTTCAGTTTTAAGTCAATCAGACTTCAGCGGTCGAGTTGTCAACAACGACCATTTCTTATATTGGGGCGAAGTTACCAAAACCTCTGAAGAAGGAGTTGATTTTACATTTCAAGTGATTGAACAGACTGAATTCATTGACGATGCTTCCTTTCAACCTTTCAAAGGTGGTAAAATGGAACCTTACGTAAAAAGATGTTCCGCGATTAAATTGTCTTCTGCAGAAAAACTCATGTATATTTGTAAGAACCAATTAGGTATTGAAAAAGAATACGAACAAAAAGTTTTGCCCGATGGTAAAATTAATATAGATGGTTTCTTGTGCGTTTTCGATGTTAGCAACGTACCGGGTAGGTTAATTGAAAAACAAGTAGAAATTGTGACGGCCATATTGAATAATTTAATAAAAACTAAGAAACCCATCGTATTGGTAACTACGAAAAATGACGAAGCTTTCGAAGGCTACGTGAAAGAAGCGGAAAGATTGCTTACAAAAAAGGAATATAAAAATGGGATTTTTATGGTGGAAACATCTGCTCATGAAAATGTTAACGTAGACTTAGCTTTTATATTAGTCGCGCAATTAATTGATAGAACAAAAGGGAGATGTAAAATTGTTTCTTTTGCCGAAGCGGATAGCAGGAAGAAAGAATTGGGCGAATCGGTGACGCAAACATTCCAAATGTTAATCAGGTCACAGGTTACTGATTTTACCGTAATGTGGACGCATACTCTCAAAAAATTGTCCCAACATCCAGAGTTTTCCCATTACGTTGCACTCTTCGGCGTGGACAGTGCACAAAGATTATTTAGACGTCACATAAAAAAATTAAAAGAGGAACACGTTAAAAAAAGAATACAAGGTTACATGGAAATGCTACCTGACATTCTTCAAGAAATGGTTCCCGATTTATCTTCTCTTCGCGATTGCGATTGGGCTACGGTTCAAAGACATATTCAAGAGCATCCAGATTTTCATCAGTATTTTTTTGAATGTCCTGAGGATATACCTTGGACAGAATGCGATTTAGAAGAAATAGGTCACAATCAAATACCATTTGATGTTTTAGATTCAAATGAAGCAGAGACAGTTTACAAAAATCACGTAAATGCTTTACAGCAAGATCAAAAACGTTTAGAGTGGAAAAAACAATTCAAGCAGTTACTCGAAGACACAGGATACGTAACTCCGGGAAAACTATTATCGGAAGTGCGGGTTTTATTTATGGGTAGAGAATGTTTTGAAACATTATCCGAGTCTGATTGCCAATTAATATACGATCAACACCAAAAGGAAATCATTGAAAAAGCAAAGCATAATTTTCAAGAGCTCCTCCTTGAACACGCAGACGTTTTTTATCATTTTAAAAGTATAGCTCCTGCCGGAACTATAACTCAAGAATACATAAAAGAAATAACAGATGCTTTGCAAGAAGATTCTCGATATAAAGCTTTAGATCGACTTGATCAAGACAGAAAATTAATGCTTTTCCAGCATTTGGGATTCGTACATTGCCCCATACGAGAACACTGTCCGGCTTTCCCGAACTGCATGGATGCACTCATCGAAAGAATATTAGGAGCGAAAGCTCACAGGCCATCATCTTGGAATCACAGCAGTCAGTGGCTTTTGAGCTCTGACAGCAATCGTTTGAATCTTGTTATATTAGGAATAAACGGACTCGCTGAAGAACTAGTTACGGAAATACGAACAATGTGCGAAGGAGACGAATACGAGTTAAGCTGTCAATTATATAGTTTAGATTACAGAATAATTAATGGAGACGTCAGTTTGCCCCAAAATTCTTTTAAAACAAATGAATTTCTTCCGCACGGATGTTTTTGCGTTTATTCAAACGCAGATTCATTCGAATACATTCGAGAAAGTTTAGAAAAAACATTATTATCTAATTTAGAACAAGAAGATAGATTGCCATTTCAAGGTCTCCCTATAGTTATTTTATTTTCGGCGGATCAAAGTGTCGATGAAAAGGAAGGTATAAGGCTGAGGGAAGAAGGTCAAAATTTAGCCGACAGTTTACAATGTCCTTTCATTGACGTGTCTTTAGAAGAAAATTCATTAGATAGACGCCAATTTAATAGTTTAATAGTTTCGGACGCTTTGAAGCAATTGGTTCAAAGCATCCGACATCGATCTGGTTTCATCAATATTTATCAATCTGTCATTGATTCTTCCGAACCCGATATCCGAGTAATAATGTGCATGTTTTGCGGTGATCCCTACAATGTTGAAAACGTACTTAGCCCCCTTTTAAATCATCAATGTTGCTTTCTTAGCGGCGACAAAAGCATAATATTAGAAACGTTTTTGGGAGATTCTAAGCATAAAGTCGAAGTCATAATATCGTCTTTCCACGGAGCCAATGCTTTTTGCGAGGAGTTAGTACACGGTTTTATTTTAGTTTATTCTACCAAACGAAAAGCTTCTCTAGCTACGTTAAATGCTTTTTCCATGAACATTCCAAATTTACCAATTCAAATTTTGGCTGTGACTGAAACCGGGGGAGCGAATGCGTTTTTTAGCAATGATTTAAGTCACCTCTTGATAACGGAAGGTAACGCCATAGCTGACAGACTTCAAGCTCACTTTATGACATCTTCGTCGTCTACGCAACAAAAAACTGCTTTTTACACGCCATTTTTCAAGGAGGTTTGGGAAAATAAACCGGAAATAGAACAAGCTTTTCACATGGAAGAACCTAGTAACATTCAGGATTCGGGAGATGATACTTTGGAAAGACGTCACCCGCTTCCTCCGCCACGTCTCGAAAGTTATTTAATCAAATCTGGTTCGAACGATGGAAGCGAATCAGAAATCTACGAACGTTTTCCCACCGACGGTGACGATATGAACGATTCTCTTTCTCCGACGTACCCGGAAGATGGTTTGCTCAGTCTTAGCGAAGATAGCGATATTTACACTCACGTGGATATTTACGGAAACGGAGGAGAGAATCACCTAGTCAAAAATTCAGACTTAAAACCAAAGCTGAATCAAGTTTGGGTTGACGATGTTTATTTACAGCAAAACCGTCGCGATAGAAACGAAGACCTTTGGTTAAGTAATTACTCTCAACATGCTTTCACGACGGGTCGAAGACATTCTAATAAACTAAAAAACAAAGATAGAAGTCACACGTTGAAACAACCGGGCAAAATTAATTTGAAAGATTTTGCCAACGTTACGGAAAATATTGCTCGGATACACCTCGGAGGTGACAAAATGTCTAATAGGTCGATGAGAGGCCACGCTCCCTTGGTACCTGCCGAAAATATCGATTTGGAATACTCTCAAATTAAAGATGCCATACATTCGCATTACGGGCCGTACGACGGAGAATTTTCCTACGGTTTTGTGCCAGACGGCTTAAGCTTAAAATCTAAATTTCGTAGAAGAAGAAAAAAGGGCCGACCGTCTAATAGCGAAACAGCATCCGACAGTTCGGAAGAAAGCGATCCTGATTTATCTGGATCGTCTCGGTCGAGAACGAAACTCAATAAAAAATCTCTTAGATCGAAAAAACGTATCGGGAAAGTTCCCGTAGGACAACCGGTTCGAATTCCGATTCCTCCCGAGCTGCGAACGCCTCACATCATGCAACAACATCAATTCAATTCTGGTCTTTCGGTAGATAATGATATTATGGGTAATCCATCGTACGTGATACACGACGATGAATCCAGTTTGGACGTGTCGTCTCCTAGGGATATAAATTCACCCTTATTCGGTGGTTTGAGTAAGGGATTAAAGGAAAACGACAAAACGGCGAGGCGAAAGGAAAAGCAAAAAGCTAAAGAAGATGAAAAATTAAGACTGAAAGAAGAAAAATTGAAGAAAATAGCCGAAAAGGAAAGGGAAAGGGAAAAGAAAAAATTAAAATCTAAACCTTTGAAAATATCCGGACCGAATTCTCTGGATTGTTTCACACACACCGAAGACAATTTATTACCTCTTTTTTTGGAAAAATGCGTGAAATTTATCGAGGAAGAAGGACTCGACTCGGAGGGTATATACAGAGTGCCGGGAAATAGAGCACACGTCGAATTGCTATTTCAAAAATTCGAAGAAAATCCCAACGTGAACATTCAAGACTTGGATATACCCGTGAACGCCGTCGCGACGGCATTGAAAGATTTTTTTTCAAAGAAAAGGCCTCCCCTACTCAGTTGCGAATTGATGAGCGAACTCGAAGATATTTCCGGTGCGAGAGGAATGATGATGATAGAACAAGCGAATTTAAACGTCGACATAAAAGCTGACAGGAGCTGTCGTTTATTGGCATTGAGATCTCTGTTGAAAAAAGCGCCCAAGGAAAGTTTCGAAATATTGAAATTTATTTTTCAACACTTTGTTAAAGTCGCGGAAAATTGCAAATTGAATTCGATGGATTCGAAAAATTTGGCCATTTGCTGGTGGCCGACACTTTTACCCATTGAATTCAGCGACATGGGATGTTTCGAACAAATGCGTCCACATTTAGAAGACATAGTTCAAACCATGATCGACCAATATCCATTTTTATTTTGCGGTAAAGAAGCATTCGTTATGGTTTGAGACAATGTTTATAGTATTATTATTATTATTATTATTATTATTTTTTACGAAAACGAAATTGATGATGATGATGATGATGATGATGATGATGATGATGATGATGATGATGATGATAATGATAATGATAATAATAATAGTTAAATGTATTTTAGTAAATACATGAATTTTTCGTCCCTTTATGGAAAAAAAAAATAATAATAATAATATTATTTTAACGAAGAATCTGCCTTGTTTAAATTAATCAAGACTCAAATTCTTTGCCGTTAATTATTTAAATAATAATAATAATAATAATAATAATTATAACAATAATAATAATAATAATAATAATTACGATAGGAATAATAATGATAATGATAATGATAGTAGTAATAGTGCATAAAAATCGTTTCACATTTACATTATTATTATTATTATTTTTTATTATTTATTTATTTAAAGAAAAAGGAAAAGAAAAAAAAAAAATTAATTTTGTACTAATAATAATAATAATAATAATAATAATAAAAGTTAATTTCAATAAATGTAATTTCCCCCACCCCCCACCCCGCCCCATTTCCCTGTAATTTATATATTTACCCGAAATTAGTTACAAAACAAAAACGTAGAAAAGCTAATTAATTATTTTAAATAAATAAATAAAAAAAAAAAAAATTTTAATTAATGTGTAAAAAAAAAGGGAAAAATTAAAAAATAAAATGCTTTTTGTGATTATGTGAGATTATATGCGTTCTGATTAATAATAATAATAATAATAATAATAATTTTTTTTTGTGTACTACGCTTACGTAACGAAGATGTAATAATAATAATAATAATAATAATAATAATAATAATAAATACAAATAATACACGGCGAAATTTTTTTTTTTTTTATGTTCATATTAAAAAAAAAAAAAAAAAGTTTTAAACCGAAATTTTTGGAAATTAAAAAAATTGTGTTGTTGATTAACATTCCGAAAATTATTATTAAAATGTATAATAATAATAATAATAATAATAATAATAATAATAATAATAATAATGATAATTTGCCCCCCAAAATAATTTCATTTGCCTTTGAGTTTTAAATAAAAATTAAAAAAAAAAAAGGAAAAGTATAGCAGCTATGTGAAAAATGGCCACAAATATATATATAATTAATTAATTGTAACTAATAAAAAAGTGAAAATTGATTGATTGATTGATTGATTGATTGTTTTGTTAAACAAGGAGAAGAAGAAAAAAATTATATATATATATAAATAATGCAAATGAAAATTGTGAAGCTTAAATATTAAACTTTAAAACAAAAAATATTTGCAAAAATGAAATTTTTTTTAAACAATCGTATAAGAAAACAGCTAATCGAATGAATTAGTCAATTAAATTTCGTCTGCTAGTCATTTAAAAAGAGTAAATAAAGGTTTTTTTTTATTTTTTATTTTTCAAAACCATCAAAATTTTGTTAAAATTAAACAAACAAACAAGAAAAGACTGATGATGGCTTATCTACTATCTATCTATCTATCTATTATTATTTAAATCCACCCCTTTGCCTCCTTTACTCCTCACTCCCTCCCCCTTATTTGATCTACAATATTTAAAAAAAAAACTTTATGAATATGTTCGTGGCGGGGGGGATGGGGGTGGCGGCATGTGCCATATCTTTTTAAATAGGAATAGAAATAAAATTTATTATTGTTTATTACGTCAGAAAAATTATTATTATTATTATTTTCTCTATTAACTTTTATCGGTTAAAATGAAATGAAATTGAATTATTATCGATCATATATGTATTTTTTTTTTTTTTTGTAATTATTTATGTACACTTATTTATTTACTTTGACGAATAATAATAATAATAATTTTTTCAATCATTAATTGCCAAAAAAAAAAAAAAAAAGTCGGCCATTTTTAATTTAAAATTTTTTATATTCAAGATCTCATGAAATTATTTAGTATTTTTGCAAAACTTCCCTTTTCCCATTTTTAAACAATAAACCCCTCCCCTTCTTATCCCCCTCCCCCCGATTCGGGGGACCCATTCCTTTCGATTTTAACTCGTAAATAAATTTTTTAATTATTATTATTATTATGCGACATAATAACTGTTTGTTAATGATTTTTTTTTTTTTTTTTTTTTGCTTTGCAAACGAATATTAGCTGTTTTTTATATAATACATTGGTAACAACCATTTAAATTAAATTATTTAAATGAATAATAATAATAATAATAATAATAATAATAATAATAATAATAATAATAATAATAATAATAATGATAAATAAGTAAATAAAAAGAAAAAAAAACTTGCAGTGTGTGTAATTATTTATAAAAAAAAAAAAAAAAATTTTTGTAAAATAATAATGATAATGATAATAATAATAAAATAAGTGTGTTCATGTTTTACCAGTTCTTAAATTATGTATATGTTTTGATTGATTTCATTTAAATTAATCAATAAAATTCATTTTAAAATAAAAAATAAATTAAAAAATTGTTTTTTTTTTTTTTTTAAATGGATATTCATTCTCTTTTGATCCTAAATAAAAATGGCGACACTTAAAAATATATGATACTGGACAAAAAAAAAAAATCGTTTATTTTCTTCTTTCGAAGTGAATAAGTGAATATTATTATTATTATTATTATTATTATTTTATCGTGTACTTAAGGGGGTTATAAACCGTTCGATACCCGTGATGACGTAATGAATTTTAATTTTTTCCTAGTGAAGTTATTATTATTATTTTTTTTTTAATGTGATTTCGGTAAAAATTGAATAGAAAAAAAAATTATATGGATAAGTATGTAAATAAGAAACGTTGACGTATGGATAATTTTATTTTTATAGTGATTAATGAAAATGCAACAAGATTGGGAGAAGAAATCAATAAGGGCTCTACCAAACGAAATACTTCTAACGATATTTTCCTACCTTCAAACCCACGATGTCAAATACAACATATCGAAAGTTTGCATTCAGTGGTCGTATTTATCGCGAGATAAAAAACTATGGACGAAATTAAATTATAAGACGACGAGTAAATCAACGAGAACTTTCGGCGTCGAATCCTGGTATTCAACATTGAAATTTCTAGAAAATACTCCCCAACTTCGAAACATCGTAATTTCTCAATGTCACACCGAAGAAGAAATAATCGAAATATTAAAATCTCTCAACGTTCATTGTCCGAAATTGCGTCACATGGAATTCGACATGGATGTCGGAAACGTGTTTAAACACCTCAAAGGAATGGATAATTTATTAAAAACCGTCGAATCCCTAAAAATCAAACTTGGTTCCTGTCAATCTCAATCGAACGTGTTTAAAATTTTAACGGAATTTAAAAACCTAAGAAAAATTGTTTTTATCGGAGCGAATCCACCGACTCCGGGATTTAGTTTTTTTTTACGGGAATCCCCCAATTTGGAAAATGTTAGCGTGTCGGGAGTGGAATTTTCTAAAAATAATTTTATGTCCTTGTGGAAATTCAAAGACAAATTTATTGGATTGGATATAAAAATTGATAAATTGGACGGTAACTCATTGAAATTGTTATCCGTTTTCCCTAATTTAAAAAATTTAATGGTCACCGATGGAAATTCATCTCCGGAAAAGTTGGGATGCGTCGGCCGTTTTAAATATTTAAAAATTTTACACCTTCAAGAGGAAGCATCGTCACCCGTACTCACATCCACCGCAATCACGGAATTTTTTCAATATGGATGTTTTACTCATTTAAGAGAATTAAAACTTCACAAGAGCAGATTGAACGATGATGGTAAGTGTTTGAAAAAATTAAATTATTTTTTAATTAATATCATCCCTACTAAATTTCCCCCCCCCTCTTCTCTCTCAGCCGTAACTTGTTAATTATTACTAATAATATCGTATACTAAATAAAAACTAATTTACAGGAGCAGCTGAAATTCGTAGGAATTGTCCCAATTTATTATATTTGGAAGTTATGACTTATCCCAGAAGTATTAGCAGTTTAACGAAAAAAGCACTTCTTCATTTTATTCATTGTAAACGTCTTTTGCATTTTGAAATATTATTTGATAACAGCCAAGAAACAGATTGGATATACAGGTACGCATTTTTTAGAAAAATGGAATTTTTGTTAATTTACCACGTTACGTGCTCTTTAACCGTGAAGTTTTAATTACATAAATTAAATAATAAAAATTGACTTACCCAAATGCCAATCATTTCTTTTAGAAGGATAAGACACGTTCATCACGATTGTCAAATAGAAAAACCTTGTCCGATGGGTTTGGAAAAACTTCTTGACGCTTGGGATGAAATTCATATTCCTGTTGATTAACATTTAAAAAATTATCATTATTATTATTATTATTATTATTGTTATTTTTTATTAATTAAGTTAATTAAATGTTTAAACTCTTGCCACATTCAGTATATATTTTTTATGATATAAAAATAATTTAATTGTAATTATAATTGATTTTTTTTATAAATATAAAAAAGAAATTTTATATAAATATTTGTGTAATTTTAATTTCCCCATTATTTAATTTTTTTATTTAAATAAATTTATGTGTTTTACTTACACGGAGTGAAAATTATTCAATTGAAAATGATGAAATTCTAATTTAAATTTTTATGAAAATATATATTGGAATCTGTTAGATCCTCTAATGAAGTTGTCACTTCCGTTATTATCCCTTTCATTCCTATTTCCGGTTCTTGAAAATGCCAAAAATTGAAATCGTTTTCATATTCAAGTACATAATAAGTCATGGGTCCCGTGTTTTGGTTTTCATTATTATTATTATTATTTTTTTTCAAATCCGAATCATAATCTTCTTCGGTTTTTTCAATAATATTATTGGAATATTGTCGTTTTAGTTTTATATCGCTTAGTTTCGCTTTCAATCTATTTTTAACATCAGAATAAGAAGAATGTGTTGTAGAAGGTTCTACTTCATTGACTAAATTAAATGTAACGCTTGATTTTTTTTCATTTCCACTACTACTTGATACTTTCAAATTTGATTTCAACGGTTTTATTTCTCGTCTACTATTCTCCATTTTCGATGATTTTTTTTTAACTTTTCTAAGTAAATTTATTAAACTGAATTTTATGTTTTTGTAATCACTCGTGATTGGTTTGGGTTCTTTAGATTTTAATTTGACTATACGATTTTTAAGAGCTTTTTTTAATTTTTTCTTTACTATTTTTTCACTCTCTTTTTGATTCAAATCGCTCTAAAAAACAAAATATTTCATTTAATTAAAAATTTTTTTTTTTTTTTCAATGTTTAAGTATTGTAATTATATAATAATACTACAAAGATTGTTTTACTTACAATTTTCACGTAGTCTATATCTTTATTATATTCGACGTCTTTGAATGCATCGCGATGCTGTAGATCTTTAAACGTCTTAAATTTTTCATCGTCTTCTCGTCTGTTTTCTTTTTTTGAACTTACAAAATTATTATAATTATAATATTCTTCATCGGATGAGTCTCTGTTTGATATTTAATTTAATTTAATTTAATTACGTTTCGTCATTTATATAAAAATAAATAAAGGAATTATTATTTACATTTCTTCACTGATATCCGTTATGTCGCCATAATCTATCGGATGCTGACAAATTGTGCAAATGTTTTCCAATTTCGAATAGCAATTTAAACAATATTTTCCAGGACAATCGGGAGTTTTGCACTTTTTTAATATTGTTTTTTTAGACTCGACTGCTCCGCATAAAATACAAGCGCTCTCTTTTTTATTTCCAAAAATCATAGCCAAAAGAGGAAAGCTAAAATTAAAAAAAAAAATACACACCAAAATGTGACGTAAATATTATTGTATCGAGTCTGCGACGATAAAACTCTGTTAAAATTTTACTTTTTTTTGTTTTTTTTTCACTTTTATAATTTTGATGATTACAAAGGTCATTTTCACACTTGCTAAATTTTAATTTATGATTGGCATACTTACGAAGCAAATAATCTTTGCTTGAGTGTAACTTTTTCCACTGGTTCTTCATTTTTATAGTTTTTTCGAAGTTGCCTTCTGGCGAATCGCAAAAAACTTCCTCTGGATCTAAGTATGTGATTGTATAACCAAACTGCACGTTCTTTGGCTCGATCAGGATAATAATAAGACATTACAATATTTCTTATTCTTAGTCCATAAGGCTCGGTGAGTGTGAGAAGCCAACAAAGAGAAACTAAAAATACTGAAAGAAACAAATATTTGTTTAAGTGTTGTTAATTTCTTCCGAAATAAACAATAACTCTCGAAACGACAAAAAAAATTTAAAAACCTATTTGAATATATCTATCTGTGTCGGGAGTGACAGGGTCAGGAAGACAATGCATAGGATCTAAATGAAGACTGGGATTCTTCGGAACCTGAAATGTTTGTCCTAGTTTGCGGTAAAAATCGGCTAAAACTCCTTCACCTTGAACGTGAAGTAAAATGCTGGGTTGATCACCTGTAACAAAAGTTATTTTAAATAAAATTAAATTATTTTAAAATTAATATTTATTCCGTATTGATATTTTTTTCATTTTTAACTACATTAAATATGCATTTATAAATACCGATTTGAAAACCAATCTGATATTGTAATTTTAAATTAAATACTTACTTTCATCAAAAATGTCTTCTTGAGCTTCGTATATTTTCAATAATATCCAAAATAAACAATAATCACAGACTAGAAAACTTATTATTTTAAATGATGTCAGGCTGAGAAGAAACAATGATTGAGCTATTCTACTTTTTTCATCACGAAAGAGTCGTAAAGAAGATGGCTGTAACCAATTTTTGTAATTATAAAGTCAATATTTCAATTTTGAAAAGTAAAAAATTAAACCAAAAACTTTTCGTAACCTTTCCATATTTTTTCTTTTCTCTTATTTCCAAAGGTAAAACCGTCTCTTTACCCATTTTAGCTCTTTGTAAATCTAAGTCTAATATGTATTTGCTTATGTATAGATTATCGTATCTGTCCGAAGTTAGGTACTTATATCGATAGTAATAAACTCTAAAAAAATTTAGCAAAATAATAAATTTTAAATCGTGAGTAATAAAATTTGAAATCGGATATGCAAATTATATAATTGAAAAAAAAAAATATTTTTGTTTTAAATTCGTAATACACATACGAACTTTATAAAAACTAATAAAAACATAAAACTGAAAACGAATCCAAAAAAGCTAAATATGTTTTGTACTTTTTCTATTTTTGCACTTATTTTTTGCAAAATAGTTTTTGCAACTTCTTTTGTAGAATTCGAAGCGGTCGTTTCAAATTCGTAAGAATGTTTGAATTCAATGGCAACATAAAACAAATTTTTCATATGAAGACTGAATTCTTTCAATTCTGAAAAATTTATTTTTAAAAAAATTTAAATTTTGTCATTTTTATGTCTTTTAGTATCTTTTCCGGTATATCTTATAAAATAAATAAAATCTACAAAAATATTAATACTTCATTATGCATTTTGTGAAAAATTAATTGATCGTCTAATTTTAGAAAAATTTTAAGAAAAAACTCACTTGTTTTCACGACGGTAATAATTTTGTCGGAAACAAATTCAGTAAACATGCAAACAAAATCCAACCATTTAACAGTATAACATAAACCTTTGACAACATGAACAACGTGACACATAAAATCCATAACTCCAAGTTTAGCCTGTAAAAAGGTAAATTTTTATAGAGCTAAGTAATTATTTAAATAATTATTATTATATTACCTTGCAATCTACAATGGCATCATCAAACGTTTTCATACATCTTTGAAAAGGCGTTCCAATTTTTTTATTACAAAAATTAATTATACTGCCCAACCATAATGTTGCTTTCTTTATAACATTGTCTACAACAAAAAAAATTTTATTATATACTCTCCCATATTTTATCTATAATCATTTCATTCTTCAATGAATCTAAAATGACTTTTTTATACTTACATATACCTAATATAATTCTTTTAATATTTTCAACAAATGATTTTACTGTATCAACCACATCAACTAAAGCCTTTTTCAAATTTTCTAAAGTTTCTTTAATAGATTTAAATGGTGCCTTAACCATTTCATAAATTTGAGTTAATGTATTTTTAATAATATCCTTGAAAACAAGAACAAAAAAAAAAAAAAAAATTAATTAAAAGTATTTTTAGTAAGTATTTATTATTTTCAACTATTACTTGTGCACAAGTCATGGAATTCGATAAAATTTTTATATTATGCATCGTGTTTTGAGCAGGTCCGGTAAATGCAAGAAAAAGTGCATAAGCAAGTAATGCCTGACGACCCTGTTTCGTAAAAAATACTGGAAGAACGAGAAGAACGTAACATCTAAAATTAAAAAAAATAATTAATTAAATATAGTTAATAAGTATTTCTCATTTAAAAAGGTAATTGCACCATACCTAATTTTTGATGAATATGCAAGACCCAAGCATAGAAATATACTTAATAAAGCACAACTGTAAGTAACCGTTTTAAGTGAAAAGTTAACACCGAGATAAAGTATAAAAAAAAATAAATAAGTTAACAGAATTCCACCTGAAATTATATAAAATAATAATAATAATAATAATAATTAATAAAAAAAAAAAAGTAAAATTACACATCACAATTAGATGTATTATCAGTTTGGCTCAAAGTTTAGGTTTAACTTACAGAGAAAACCAAGAAAACTTTTTGCAATAATGTTTTCCAAACTATTTGCAGTTTTAATTTTTCTATAATATCGTTTTATAAAATCAAATTTGATTCGTTTTTGAAGTTTGCCTGCAACACTGAGTCTGTAATAAATTTTCAAACCAAGAAATTACAAAATGTAAAAAACTTATCGAGAAGAATAATTATAAATTTATTTACTTACTTTTTTAAGTTGTGATCCTTTTCGGAAGGATCTAATGCTATTTTTTTCAATTCGTGATAAGTTTTCCATGTATTTTTTATTAATATTGCCTTTACAACACTTTTAACGTAAGCCATAAAATATAAGAAATTTTTAGCTGAAACAATAACTGATTTTAAAGTAGTTATTTCAAAGTCGTTTCGAGAAAGCGGTGAATTGAAATAACGGTTAATTAATAAAAAAAAATGGCGCACTTTTTTAATTTAAAAAAATTCCGAGCAAAGAAAATTTTTATTTTTAAAACATCATAAAATTGATGATTACTTATCTTTTAAAATTTTTTAATAATATAATTGTCGTGAAAAAAAAAAAAATATATTGAATTTTATTGAACGATCGATAGGATTTTTAAACAGTAAAATTAAAAGAAATGAAGAAAGTAATAATAATAATAATAAATTTTTTGAACAAATTTTATTTAAATGACTAGACTTGCAGAATTTCATTTGTATAAAAAAAATCATTAATTTGGCAAAGAATAAATTATTAATCTAACATCTTAAATTATGTAGATTTTAAATTTAGACCACATTGAAATTATTTTTTTTTTCCAATTGTAATACAATTTAATTGACAAGAATAGATTAGATTTTAATATAGACTAGATATTATAATACATATTATTATAAATGAGTAAGAACTTATTTTTTTACAATTTAAATCTATTAATAATAATAATAATAATAATTTAAGTGACTAAAGAATTAACAAATTAGTATATAAATACTGAAAAGTAAAATAACTAACGAACCATGGTTTTTAATTATCACAACCATGTGTAAATACAGTCTTAATTAATGCCACTAATTTGACAATATTATTATGTCTTACTACATTTTTAATATACATTATATTTAGATTTAAACATAAATTCATATTTTATTACTCTTCCTTTTATTTAAATAATAAAATTATATTTAAATCTAATAAATAATTTCATTTTTGGTCTTTTTTTTTTAAACTTAAAATTCTACAAAAAAATATATAATAATGAATAAAAACAATATTAATTTAATTTAAAACCAATAACAATTAATAAAACTCAAACCAAAAAAAAAAAAAAAAACAATTAAAAAACAATTTAAATTTAAAATTTGTTGTGCTTTTAAATACCGTTTAAAAGTAATTCAAATTTAAAATAGAATTTTCCCCGTTAAAATTTAATATAGATTTTAAATTAACCCAAAACCACGTGATAAAAATTTTCTGGATTAAGAGTTTTAAATCCAGATTTACAGTTCGAAAAGAAAAAATCGAAATATAAAAATTTTAAAGTTATCTACCTGTTCTCTCTCTCAGGCTGTCCTTTTCTGGGTTAATGAGCATTCAAAATCATATCTACTACTACTACCTGGAAAACTACCTTCTCATTCTATAAAAAAAAAAAAAAAATTTTATACGATTTATTTAAAGATTTTGGTCAAATAAATAAGAACATTACACGCGATGTTTTGTTTTACACACACAAAAACTCACGTTCGAAAAAAAAAAAAAAAAACATTTTTAACAATTTAAAAAAAAAATTAATATCAAAAAATTTCATCTGAAATATTTTAATCCAGTAACAACTAAAAACTTTTCGATAAAAAGTTCAGAGTCGAGAACGGCGATGTGAGCAGCTCTTCCGATGAGCGAATTTGCAGTGTTTGGTAAAGCATGATGTATATCGTAGCGAACTAATGTCGTGTCTGTTGAATTTATTACCGGATTCATTATATTCCGAACCATTTCTCGGTATACCACTCCTATAGACACAGAATTATTTAAAAAAAAGAAAGATGTTAAACGGATAATTCGTTTAATAAAATTGTGATTGTGCCTGAAAAGTATCACCTTGAATGGTTGAGTCTTTTATCGCGGATTTACATAATTCGATTCTGGCTGAATGAATGGGAACGTAACGATCCTGAGAAGAGCCACATAGTAAAACGTGACGAAAATAATGAAGGTTGCTCTTAACGCTTAACTTGTAAAGAAAAGTTTGCCGAACGTCTGAAGCGTCTTTTAAAGACAATTGCAAGAGTGATCCACTTTTTTTCCACTTTTGCATAAACCACATCCCTTAAAAAATAAAGAGTATAGTAGCCATAGTTAAAATAAGTGATTGCGATTGCTATAAATTTCTCACCCATATTTACAAGACCGCTATTATTGTATAAAGTTCCTAAATGAGGTCCAGATAGGGACAAGAAGGTATGAAACCTGGGAAGTAAATGTTTAAGTTGAGGTCGAGTGATGGCAGATCGTATAATTATATTTCCAAGGGAATGACCTAGAAAATAATTCGCATTCAAATTTAAATAATGAAATTTATAAACCTAAATTTACTAAAACCTATATATATCAATTACCTATAAAACTAATTTTGGACGGAGTAGGTCCACAAGTTTCTATATGATAAAGAATTTCTGCGACTAACTTATCCGTCATTGAATCAAAATCCGAAAAAGTATCTCCCTAAAAATAATGATTGATTAACTTTTTAATGATTAACTTATTATCTTTTTCGTAAATTCCCCATTAAAATTTCAAATACCTGATTTCTTTCAGACATTAAAAATTCTAAATTGGCACCGGGTAATCCGAGTTCGACATAAGTTTTCACCAATCGAAGATCACTCGAGTTTCCATCCAAACCGTGAACACAAATAATGAGATGCAAACCTTCGGGTGAAAATATTCGGTATTCGTCGCTGATGTGAAAATAAGGAAGGGTAGAAGCTAAAGTCGGAAAATCGCTGAAAAATCGTCAAAAAAAAATTATTTTTTAAGATTAATTTCCGTTCAAAAAAATTAAATTTGATCGATGGAGCCGAATTTTTAGTACCTGTAAATCATTCCGGTAAAATTCATTTGCTTTTTAAAATCTTCTTTTGCTTTGATAAATGTCAACGTTTCACTTTCAAAATTATTATATTTTAACTTTCCTAAATTATCGTAACATAAACAATCCGCCGCATTG